TCTTATTGGAGGATTAACAGGAATTATACTTTCTAATTCTTTCAATCGTTTATTATTCTTCACGATACGTATTATGTTTGTCGCTCATCTTTATTACGTTTTATCAATAGAGATAGTGTTATTTCAAGATTTATTCATTACATTCCTTCTTAAAAAGTATATATATATATATATAACATAACCTTTTTAAAAATAACTTCGAAAAATGAGAAGAAAAGAAATGGCGCGCACGAAAGACTACCGGTCTCTCCACGCCTCCCCCCTCGAATATTATCATCGGGTTGGATGATTTTCGGGCTCGGTGTTTACCAACACGTGTTTACCAACGAAAAGCCGATCGATCAAACGGCTTTCGAACGGCGCGTGCTCTCGTTACGCGCGCGTAATCGGCGTCTCGTCATCGGGATCACGTACGATTTACAGTGGCCGGCCCGAAGGTGAGGACAAAGATGATCGTAATACGATTTGACTTAACGAGCCCGTGACTGAAATTTCAAACAGCCACCGACTCTTGTCATATTTAAAATAACAATCGTGACTCATCCACCACTCTCGTTTCGATTTTTCCCTTGTAGATACGTCGATTAAAAATTCTTAGCTAAATATGTATATATACGTGAGGTTTAAATAATTTTCGCGTCGATGTCGTGTTGTTGATTTTGAACGAATCGTTTAACTTTCACTGTATAATCGTAAATCGATTTATCGAGGGATCGACAGTGAATCGGGGAGAATGGTTGGAACAACAGGTCGTTTTTAACTCCTCTTCGAGGAGATATCTTCGTGTTTCTTCGTGATTATTTAATGTAAAAAAAAAAAAAAAAACAAAGGAAAGGAAAACAACGTTTCTTTTCCCCTCGTAAAAATATTCGAGGTATTCGTAGTTTCTCCATTTAATTATCTCCATCTTTCTTCCTTTTTTTACAATCCTTTATCTGGCAAGAAACGCAAACAAAATCGCTCTACCTGACAGATATCAGGAGTTAAGTTAATTAAAAACCGTCGTACTAATTCCGTCACGGTTCATCAACCACGCGGTGGTTTCTTCTTCTTCTTCTTCTTCTTCTTCTTCTCTCCTCTTTCGTTCGAATATACTCGCGGAGAGGTTGAAACAAAGAAGGAAGAAGAAGGTTTTTTTCCCTTCCCCGTCGATCCTTTTAATTAAAAAAGGTTCTTTTTTTCTTCCCTCCTTGTTATTCGCCCGTGTCTCTCTCGTCGCCCTCTTTACGCGCACGAATGTTTATTCTCTCTCGCCTCTGAATAGAAAGTGAAAACGCCGCTGCATACACAGGCTGCATAATCGAACCGGTTGATTGATAGTTACGCGGGGACCGGATGCCGGTACAGTTTATTTACTTATCGGCCCGTTAAAGGTACTGGTTCGAAAAGCGACAAAAATTTTCATATCGAAAACGTTTCTCGATTCCAGGAAGAGAAAGAGTCGCAGTGCTTCCGCCACGTTTAGTATGGTGTTTCGAAAAAAATAAATCGAAAGATATTTGTGAAATTTTTTATTTATTTTATATAATAGGGTTGAATATATTTATTCCCATTTCTCGAGTTGGCGATTATTTTCTTTTCGTTCGAAAAATAATTCCATCGTTTCGAATGAATTGTTCCGTTTGGAATTGTTCTCTATAATTAAGCATATGGATGCTCGCCACTCAAATCGATTCAAAATCTATATAACAGTGTTAAATATATTTATTTCATTCGAAAAATAATTCCATCGTTTCGAATGAATTGTTCCGTTTGGAATTGTTCTCTATAATTAAGTATATGGATACTCAAATCAATTCTATATAATAGTGTTAAATATATTTATTTCCACTCGAGTTGGCGCGAATATTTTCTTCTCATTCGAAAAATAATTCCATCGTTTCGAATGAATTGTTCCGTTTGGAATTGTTCTCTATAATTAAATATATGGATGTTCACCACTCGATTCTCTTTTTCGTTCTCGAAGATATAGTTGATTAAGGAAACGCAAAAAAAAAAAAAACGCGATCAGGCAAAAAAGCCTCCTCTCTTTCTTTTTCTTTTCTATCTCTTCTATCTTCTTTTTCTCCGCTTCTCGTTTTTACGCTTATTGCGTTTAATCCGATTCTGTATCTTCAGTATTCGAAGTTGAGATTGTTCCAATGAAAAGTTCATTTACAAAGAATGCCAACGAATAAAAATTTTCCAAGATCGAATCTCCCAAAATTCATTACACCATTCTTTATCATTTTGAAAATTGTCAAGTTCGAAATAAAATTCGGAAAAAAAAAGAAAAAATTCAGGCTGTGATTCATCCGAATCTCGAGGGATCGATACTCGAACGAAGAGATCCTTCGAGCGTGGCCTCGCATGGAACGGAACGACAACTAAAATTAGACTCGTCATATCTCAAAAGATATTTTTCGCCTTTGTGGCTGCGATTCTTTCTTCTTCTTCTTCTTTTCTTATTTTCTCGCGCGTTTTCCTGGATTCTCGGTGAAGAACGCCTCGAATCGCAGTATTTTTGAAGGCACCTCTCTTTGATGAGAGAGGTTTCTTTATGAAACGAGGCGGCAATGGGAAGCCCCGATACGTTCGCGCTTCTTTTTTTTCTCGAAAGGAATGCCGGGTTGATGTAGGACGATGGGAGTTTTATGGAGATGGTGGTTTATGAAAATCGCATCGAGGATCGTAATTGAGGATCGTAGCCATTGGGGACGGTAAATTTTCACTTTCGAACGTTTGCTTTGCGAGTGCCTGATATATGTATTTAAATTACGTTACGTTTTTACGTTTCGTCTGTAAGGAAGATTCGAGTGTATAGATATTTTCTATTCCGGGTGTTCTATTTTCTATAGGTGTTCCAATTTGTAATTGGAAGATTGATAAGTTAAAATTAATTTGTGTGTATTATACGCGGTGTAGTATCCAGTTAATATATTGGATGTATACGTTGTAATGTGACAAACGTATTTAAATACTCAGGCGGCAATTCTTTCTCTTTAGTGCATCATTAAGCATCTGTTAGGTAGACATATATTACAAGTAATATATCTACACTTGTACAAGCTTATTAAGGTTATTAAGGTTCCATATTACTCAATTAGTTGCATACTTATAATTGATGGCTCGTACACAAGTTGTTTAGTGAGTATTTAAAGAGGTATCTGCTACACGTACGCTCGAATACGTTTAACCACCGCATAGATACACGATTATCTCGGGCTGACGTGTTTGATTTGCGCTATTGGAATTATCCTTT